TTGCAACTGGCCCTGACAGCTGCCTAGCTGTATTCCTAGAGTCTTGTCCCCAGCCAAGCCAGTCCAGAGCAGTTACAACACTGGCATCCACATGGCAATGTGGAAAATTTTCCAGATATGTCCTATCCAGATAAAGCAGGATACTTTATTCTGGCAATTTACCATCTCCCAGTCATTAGCTAAGAGGGAACAAAAACAAAATTACTGGAAAACCTCAGCAGGTTTGGCAGCATCTGTGGAGAGAAAGCAGAGTTAACATTTCGGGTCCAGTGATCCTTCTTCAGAAGGGTGTCGTCAATTGTCCTGCTCGCTGACGATCAGGGCTGTATTTAATGCAGACTGTTGGGGTCTCACCAGCTGGAAAGAGTCCCATATCCCCTTCTTTAATTGGCCAACAGCAAGCTGTCCCTGGGATTAAGGACCTCGGGGGCAGGACTCCTGCCTCTCAAAAGATTTGCCAATTAGCGATAGGCTGGCAGCTGTACATTACAGGCGGCAATACTGACTGCCACTGACTGTATATCCACCAGAGGCACCCGGAGAAACCCAGGCCACAGCTGATTAAGTGCGGTGGAGTGGGAGAGAGAGAAGAGTATCACCATGGGTAGGGGGCAGTTTTCTCTATAAACCCACCTCGTCCCTTTCCTGATGCCTGGACCCTCAATTAGGTACAGACGACCTGACAACAAAGGCTCATTCCTCCACCATCCCCAGGAGCCTGCTTACAACCCCAAAAGGGTATGTTTTTTGGGTTTCCATAGCAGAGTTGCCAATCCTCCCCTACCCTGGTTAAATATCAGCAGCAGGGGAATGAGAATTTCAATTGGCAATGAGGTGGTAGGCCATCAATGAAGTTTCCCATCTCAGAACAGAGACAGGAAGGAGAGCAGGGTCCTGTCTGCCAACTTCCTGCCTAACTAAATTAACATACCCCTCAGGAGGGAGCATTAAATTTTGCCCTCAGTTTGCGTTCTATCAGGGGCCTCTCCAGATCTCATTACAGTCTTGGTACAAATATGGACATTACACCCACTGCTTGAGAGTGACTGGCCTTGACATCAGGGCAGTATTTGACAAACTGTGACATCCAGCAGCCTTAGCAACATGGAAGCAATTGGGAATCAAGGAGTTAGAGTTATACCTAGCACAAAAATAGTTTTAGTTAATGGAGCTCAATTATCTAAGCCTCAGAGCATCACCCCGAGTTTCTCAGGAGTATCCCTAGCCTCAGCGACCACCCCTCCATCACAAGGTCAGAGTGGAATCACAGATGATCGCACAATGCTCAGCACCATTTGCAACTCCTCAGATACTGAAGCAGTCCAGAAACAAATTCCGCAAATCCAGGACAACATTTAAGGCTTGAGCTGATAAGTGTTAAGCTCAGAAAATGACCATCCCTAAAAGGAGAGGATCTAACCATCTCTCCTTGACATTTAATGACAGTACCATGTGAATCCACCACTCGCAACATCTTGTGATTACTAGAGACTGAGCTGGACCAGCCAGACAAATGCTAAACTAAAAGAGCACGTCAGAGGCTGGCAAGTCTGTGGCAACAACGTTACCTTCTGAATCCCCAAGCCTATCCATCATCTAAGAGGTATATGGCAGGAGTGTGATGGAATAGACTGCCTCTGCCTATATTTCTTCATTCATTGACAGGAACGTGGTCATATCTGGCCAGGCCATAATTCATTGCAGTTAAGAGTCACCCACGTTGCTGTGGTACTGAAGTCACGTAGGCCAACCCTGGTAGGGATGGCAGTTCTCTTCACTTACAGACATAAGCAAACCAGCTGGGTGTTTCCTGACAATCATCCAATTTTCATTGTCGTCATTAAACTCTCAATTGTAGACTTTTATTGGATTCAAATTCCACCATCTGCCATGGTGGGATTCGGACACATGTCCCCAAAACATAACCTGGCTCTCTGGATTTATACTCTATTGCTAATACCACTAGGCCATTGCCTACCATACTATAAGTGAGGCTTGAAGAATATGCGGATCACTTTACACCATCTACATTACCCAACCACAGGAAATAACCTAGGTGCGTTAACCTAGTCAAGCCCCTTCAGAATCCTTTATAATTGAATGGAGATAGCCTCTCATTCACCTAATCTCCAGAATGTAGTGGCCCAATTTACTCACTTTCTCAGATGGCAACCTCCTTTGAACTGATGTAATGAACCTCCGCTGCTACACTTCCAAGGCAAGTATATCCTTAAATATGGATACAGTACTCCAGGTGTGTAACCATCAAAGCCCCCTACAGTTGTATTAAAAATATTTAATACCTGTGTTCCAAACCCCTTACAATGAAGGCCAAGATTTGCCAGATTGTTTGCTGTGCCTTCTTAACAAACTTGTGTCACTTCAAGTGTACCCAAGTCTCTTGAACATAAGTATTTCAAAGTTTCACACTGAACTCTCATCCCTCAGTGGACTGAAAACCCAATTCCCAACCATGAAATATATGTACACATTCCAACACTTCAAATTGCATTTATAATGTGTAAACAGTTAATCTCCAAGAATGAAAGTACTTGATTATAAAAGAATCTAAATTTGTTAATACTGCATGTAGCCCTTCAGTGGGAAATATTGCATTCATTTACCTTCTACGTCGATTTATCTCGCCTTGTTTCATGACATCATACAAATACAGGAGGCAAATCAATTCTTTCAGTGCACACAGATTTCGAAAAGCTCTAATTTTTCTGTGCCTTTCCTCTTTCACAAAACCCTGCGGGATTTTCCTTTCAAGTATTTAATTTATTTTTCAATTTCTATTCAATCTAACTCCATCACATTCTCGGGCAACGTATTCCAGACCATAAAACTCATGTTTAAAAAATAATCTTTCCCTCCTGGGTTTGTTTAGCTAACTGTCATAAATGTGTTTCCTCTGGTTAGAATTGCCTATGGACATTGAATTGGACCGTTTTAATTCTAATCACCATCAACATGAAGGTGAAAAAAAAATTTAAAAAGCCATGATGAGTGCTATGCTGTATTTATGCCAGTCAATGTGTCACAGGTGGCAATCTTGCCTCGGAATCAGAACGTTCTGGGTTCAAGTCCCACTCCAGAGTTTGAGCACAAAAATCAAGGCTGACACTCCATTGCTGCACTAATTGTCAGTGCGCTCTCCTTTGGAGCAAGGATGATATATGGGCCTTGTCTGACCCCCTTAGTTGGGTGCATGCAATCTCATGGCCGTGAAGAGCAACAGCATTACGGTTAATAATCATTGCTGAATCAACATTACAAAAACAAGTTCTCTGATTGTTATCACATTGCTGGTTGTGAAGCCTGCTGAGAGTATATTGGGTTCAAACATCATCACAGTTTGGAAAGTGCTTCGTTGACTGTAAAGCAATTGAAATCATTTGGTGGCCATGAAAGGCATGTTTTTTTTTCCCTCCCCAAATTGGGCACACATTTATATTTTCCCCCATTCCTTACTTAATCTACCCCACATGCAGTTACAGGAGGGCCGTGTTGACACACCCAAGATGCATCCACAATGGAAATTTGACAGCCATTATCATTCATTCCTGCAAGTTTCGATGTGAAAAGCATTTACTCTGGTGGGAACGCAAACTTTCCAAAACATGGCTGTTAGTTTATGTTGTGATGCTCAAAACAGTCAAAAGTCCAACTTTCCTCTGCACGAATAACTTTGTAGATTATAATCCAATCCTCTGTTTGGCTCTTAGACTCTTACCACAGCTTTCTCCAATGGTCCCATTTGAAGAAGAATCTGACAGACTATCAAATGTACATTAAACCTGTGCATGCTTTACTGAAAGAATGGTTCAATAAAATAATTCCAAAATAGGTTTTGGGAATCTGTGAAAGGGATAAGTGAACTAAAAGTTAATGTGATCACCATTTATTGCTTTGAACTAAAATTGTCTCAAAACTCATGCATCTGCAGAAATCTCGGTGTTCAATGAAAACAGTAAACGCAACTTTGATTTTGCCATCAAGATTTCATGGTTTGGAACTTACCCCTGGCATTAAGCATGACGCCAGATTTTCCAAAATGCCCCTTACTATGTTTAAAAAAAAACCCACAAATGCAACAAAAACAGAAACTGCTTGAAAAAGCTCAGCAGATCTGGCAGCATCTGTGGAGAGAAATCAGAGTCAACATTTCGGGTCCATTAACCCTTGCTCAGAAACTACAAATGCCCTGGCAGTCAATGTAGATGGATGTCAGTATCTATCCAACAGAACTGCTGATGCAAATGCAGATGCACTCTTAAACTAGATACTACAAACATGCCCATTTCAAAAAGAGGAATTTCCTGAAGGTATCACCTGATCAGCCACCACAATTCTAGCAAGACGATCAGGAGGGAAACCTTGCTTTAGCATGTATTAGGGTTTCAGAGAATCTTCTGCCAGAGTTACATTGGCTGAACTTCTAATGGAATTCCTGGTCATTTTGTTCAATTGATGTAAGCACCACAAATTGTGTGTATATATGTCATATTGAGCAGGAACCAACTGCCCTGCCATAAACATCTCCCCAACCCCAAGGCAGTGCAGCCCAGATTAATAACTTAGCAGTACGGGAAGAATTCAACCATTAGACTTTCCTCTACTTTTTGACCATGCAACACCTTTCACTGGAAATCCACTCATGGTGGAAACAGTAAAACAATGTCCCAAACTTGGTGCAAGCGTTTAAAATGAAAGTGTGCAAACCAGTGGCCATTGTTTTACGCAGAGATATATTAAACAGAACTTCAGCTCAAGTCACTCTGAGCGATCTTCTCTGTTCTGAAATCCTGCCAATTAAACTTTCTTGGTAAAATCATTCCTCCTTAAGGCATTAATGAATTAAAAACTTAAAAAAAAATTCATGCAGGTTATTAGGACAAAAAGTCTTTTGGTAACCAAAGATTTCTTCACTGGGCTTTTAGTAAAGGGGCATACCCATGGCTTATGAAAAGACATCAATAGTAATTATTGTCTCTTACCCGCCTGTTTTTCTAGCAGCATTTTCGAAAAACTTGGCTCTGGAAGCAACCCTATAAATTAAAACAGCAAAGTCTATGAATTCCCTTGCAAAATGTGAACTATCATAAATCCAACAGGAAAGTTTATAACTCTGTGTTCCAGTGACTGCCTGCTAGAATTGCACTCTAGCTCAAGAGGTTAATAGTAGTTATGAAGTTGTTTCTTTTGGTAGTGTAAGTGAAATGGATGTCTTCTTTAACATGCAAATCAAAAAAGGTATACCTGTCAAAACAGCTTGAGAAATAATCACGTTCATTAAAAAGCATAGAATTTTGTCATAGTTGTGACAATTCTAGAGAAAAAGAAAGAGTTTAATAGATGTTGCTATGAGCTGGCATCATGTTGCCTACCCAGGCGCCAAGGTGTTGCTTACCCAGAAACTGCTTGTAAAGGCAATGTGTGGGCCAAAGAAAAAGAGCAGTCTGCAATTTCTTTCAAATAAATGGTTTTAATTTTGTTGACCCATTTAAACTGAAATTCAAAACCCAAAAGCAAAAAGAAAATCCACAAGATCAACACAATGATTTAGCTCCATGTGTTAAATGGCAAGCACAATCAAAAGTCAGCAAGTACTAGTGACTTGCCCTAAGGAAAAAGGAGCAGAGGCAGACTTAAGAGTGTGCAGGTCACAACATAACAAGGGAATGGAAGCAAAGCTACAGCCAGCCTCTTTTTCTCTTATGCATTAGCGAATGCATGCAAAGGTGGATACCATTTGTGAAAGGGGTCCAGCATGGATGCCACAGCCACTTTTGTTATGTAGCTATTCAGCTCATTCAGGATAGGCACCAGCCCAAACAAACCCCAGCATCAATCAACAGTTTCAGAAGGCAGAGTAAGTGGAGGCAGGAGAGGAGGCAAGATGAGGAGAAAAACAAAAAGGATTTGGTAGTGTAGGGAGTTGATTGACACTGACATTTCACTTTTGGCACCAGAATTCCAAATCAGCCCACACATATTTGGTGAAAATCTGTTAATTAGGGCATCATATGAAATGAATTGGACAAATTTCAGTCCCTTTCCTATCGTGCTAAATAATACTTCCATGATGTCCATGACACAGTGAAGGACTATACTCCAACTACATTGAGAAATGGTAAACCTCATTGGTAAAAATAAAAGAAATGCTTAAAATAGTCTCTGTGGGGGCTTATTTCTTGACATACGGTGTTCATATAAACCTAGAACACCCATTTGGTTGTGACAGCTATGAATAAATTAGATTAGCAATGGTCCTTAAGCTTCATCACTGCTACATTCAAAATTCTAGTGAATCGATGGACAGCAATTAAACAGTAAAAAAAAACACCTTTGATTACACCGTTTGATTCATTAAAAGTGCAAGACGAGAATGAAAATGGCACAAAATAAGACTGAGCCCTATTTAGGTTTTAATTACAATCAGCAGGAGAATCTGCAGCAATACCACTTCAGGGTGAGGCCAGTGTTGATTTGGGATATTGTCTTGGCATCTCCTAATGGCCAGCAGCAAAATGGAGCAGAAACAGGCATTGAAGTCCATGTGGACTTAAAAGAAAGACCGTGAGCTATTTGTATTAAAATTCCATCCCAGTCACAAAAAAATATAAAAACTGGCGAAAGATGTAAGCAAAGTTACACAGATTCAGAAGGCTGTCTGCTAAACTTTTGCAAATGGATTGCCCGAGGTTACATCCACTAACCTAGCATGGCCAGACTAGCAGAGCGAGTTGTCGGGAAGTTTTAATCCTGTAACCGGTACAGATTCCGACTATATGAAGCAATTGCCAGTTCAATCTGCTTATAAAAATGGAGGCACTCACCCAACTTTTCCTGAGAGCACATCTCTAACCAAAATTAAACTTCAACATGGGAGAAATATCTTTGCATTCATCTGTCAAAGTTAAAAACTGTTTGTACTAAACCTGAGAGAGATCATGACAAATAATTTTCTGTGAAAAGTAAAAATAACCAACTTTCAGATAATAAACAGCACAGTGCTTTAGACAGTAGGAACTGCAGATGCTGG